GGTAAACTGGGATGAGATGCTTCCCAAAGTAGCAAGCGCCTACAATAATAGCGTCCACCTAGCTACTTGCAGGACTCCTAATGAGCTACATAAGTCCTTTAGACCTAGGCGACCGTTTGAGGGACTAAACCGGGACCAAATACAAAAACTACCACCCGGTACACGAGAGTTCTCGTTGTAGCACGAGTAGGAAGTCGCTAAGGTCATAGACAATCTGAGAAAGGCCCAACATCGGATGATAGAGCAAGCTAACAAGCACCGCCGACCTTCACAGTTCCAGGTAGGCGATCGAGCCTGGGTCAAGTCAAAGGAGTTCGCACCAGAGGAAAACATCTCGCAGAAGCTCAACCTGCCTATTGAGGACCATGGCCTGTCCTAGAAGTCAAGGGAGGAGAGGACGGCCCGTCTTATACAATAGAAATCCCAGCACACCTCCACACGTACCCGGTCTTCCATGCGTCTAAGTTGCTGCCTTGCACCACGTCCGACAGATTTCCTTCCCGAAGGTCAATGATTCCGGTAGACATTGATGGTACATATGACATTGATCACATAGTGGAAGAAGACGTGTTCAGGACCGCAGGTAGCGGTCGTCCCCAAAAACAGTATAAGGTTAGGTTCGCATACCAGGAACCCGAGGACGACCGATGGTTCACAAGAACAGAGCGTCTAGAAACCGCTCTCGACATAGTACATGCCTATGAGAGGGAAAGAAAGGGCAAAGGTCCTACCTGGAGTTAGAGTGTTCTCAGAGGACCTCGAATTTAGGACGGCGGGAGTGAAACGGTTTCACCCAATTTACCCGACATTGCAGACACAGAGATTTGATCCCCATACCTGTGCCCTAACCCTGTACATTGACCTTGTGTGCTGAGTGAGATTCGATTCCTAGACCTACCCTGTACCTTGTACATAGGCCCAACGATCTGTGTGAGACTCGATCCCCAGGTCTGTTCTAGAAGTCTCTATCTGAGTCTACTGAGGCCTATAGTCTGTTTGTAAGTTTGTAGGCTCTTGAAGGTCGTAGGTCCCTGCAGGCCAGTCCAGTCAAGAAGTACCAGGGGTAGGGCCTGCATGTGGGGAAGGTTCTGGACTACGCTATGGGTGGCCCAGAAGGCCAAACATCTGGAAGCTTCATTGGGCCACACGTTTTGAGGCAGGCCCGGGTACATCCGAAGAGGTATAAATAAAGAGGCAGCGTCCACCCATTCATTCATTCGCGTGTGTGCCATGCGGAAGAGCTGCCTTGGTATCTTGTACGTGGAGGACTGCAGGTGCCCGAAGAAGAAGTGGGCAGTGAAGAAGACAACGGCCATAGCAAACCAGCGAGGGAGACACCGGCGGCCATAGCTCGGAGGAGGAAGACGATGGTGGCCATAGCCGCCCAGCTGTTGGTGTAGACGGAGTGTACAGAGTGTGTGTAGCTGTGTAGCGTGGACATTCAGGGTGATCCTCGTACGTGCGTGCATGAGAGAGAGTGAGGCTGGTGGTTGAGACTGTTCAGCGGCCATAGATGCGAGTTGTACAATTGTATTGAACTGAGTTTAAGTGCAAGTTCGTTGTTGATTCTGAGTTGACGAGTTTGGTTTTGCCATCAGTTCTCGTGTATGCATGTTGTGAGCAAGTCCAGAGCCGAGTCTGATTGCAGTGGGGGGGGCGCTGGGGGGGGGGGGGGGGGG